CCTACAGTGCCATACCAGAACTCCAAAGTACATACTCTGCTCTTAGTTCTTAGTTCTTGGTGATAGTAGGTCTCTCTAAGTTCTGCTTTCTAGTTTAATCTCTTTTATATCTAAAAAGAGACTGACTCAAGATACAACTTAATGCTTTAAATTGCATCCAGCCACATTAATGCCATGTTGTTGTTCCATTGAGTAAGTTCTGGCTCAAAGCAACCTTGTATAGGGTTTCCAAGAAGCAACTGGTGAGTCTGAACCATGGATCTTGTGGTTAGGAGTCTAGTGCTTACCCCGCAGCACCACACCAGAACTCCTCATTAACATCATAGAGTCGAAGATTTGCAACACACAGGATATTTAAAGCAGATCAGAGTTGATCACCAGATCACATCATGGCAGGAGTGGGGAATTACTTTATTACATAACTGCCATGTTACTTTGTTACCTAACTGCTAAATTACTGATAGACATGGCCTAGACACAAAATTTAAGGGTACACAATTCTATCCATGGCAGTGACCTATCTGTGCAGAGTAGAACTGCTCCAAAGAGAAAGTTTTCAAGGTTGTAGCTTCTCAGAAACAGATTGGAGGCCCATCTTCCAAGATTCCTTTGAGTAGGTTCAGACCGTCTACCTTTCAGCTAGTAGTCAAGCTATAGTAGAAACTTGGACAAGTTACTTAATATCTCTGATTCTCAGCTTTTTTATATATAAAACAAAAATATTGTTACTTGTCTAACTACCCTAGATCATATTGTGGAAGTGTATATTAAGTCATTATATCAACATACTGCAAGGCTGGTGATTCAAACCTTCCATCTTCTCTTCGGAAACTCTACACAGGGTCTCTATGAATCACAATTAATTGTACAGCACTTGATAACAAAATACCAGCAACCTATTCATTCTATTTAGAACAAAAACAGGTAGATTTTCAAGCCATAATGCAAAACAAAAAAGGATAATCTTTTAAAAAAGCAGAGAAGGATTTATGGACACTTTCTCCTTTCCTAGCAGTTTGTGCAAACCTCTGTTGAAGTATTTGGCTACTTTTAAGAAATATTCTTATGTGTTCATCTTCCCTACTTGATTCAGTTCCCCCAAAGCAAGGACCTGTTGTAAAAACTCTGCTTCCCAGTTCCCAGCAAGTCTTTGACATTGAGGCACATTTTAACTATTATTAAACTGAGCACCTTCTCACTTACTGAAGAACTAGATGTTTTCAATGAAGTGTTTCCTTCTTAGTACTCTGAAGACCATCTCTTCATCTGCATACTATAAAAATCCATCTGCTTGTTAAGGCAGCCCCTTTGTCTCCACTCAATGCCAGAATCATTCTTTGTTTCTTGGGTCTAATTTAGTGAAAAGCTAACTCCTTCCTCCTCACCCCACCCCATTCCCACCTTAATGTTTTCACTATTTCTTCCTAAGGTTTTCTATAACAGCAGGAAGCTATTTTGTTTTAAAGTGGTATTGTTCTCTCTCAGAAACAGACTTTGTTCAGTGGAAGGAAAAGAAACTCAAGGGACATAATTAGTATTCAAATCAGACTAATGAAGCACATCAATTATCTAGAAGGGCAGATCACTGAGGGGCATTGTAGTAGAATAATCAAAATTACCCTGCAGTAGGAGAGGGAGAATCTGACCCAGACTCTGCATCAGCTCACTGTGTTATCTTGGGCAGACAACTTAATCTCTCAGTATGTCAGCATTCAATAAAATGAGTGGTGAGAACAAGATGATCTCTGAGCTCCCTTCCATGTATGATATTCAGAAGTATAGTAGAAGTATAAACCATGAAGGAGAGTTTTTGGATATTGAAAATAGTTTGAGCCAAGACCAGCATTCTAGTAGTTTGAGTCAAGACCAAGAATTCTGGTCCTGTGGTGTGGCAATGTAGGATAAGCACTGGACTACTAATCACAGATTGATAGTTCAAACCCACCAGCTGCTCCTCAGAAACACTATACAGAGTCGCTATGAGTCAGAACTGACTCAACAGCATATAACAACAACATTTGAGTTAAGAATGAATCTACATAGTCTTAAAATAAACAAATGGAATGAAAGTATAATGAATCTATTCTCTATAACTGGGGGTCCTAAGTTTGGTGGACACTGAAACAGATTCTACTGGGGTATTTTTAAGATGGATAAATAATTCTGGACTGATTGAAACTCAGAATAAGGGAACCTGCTAACCACATATCTCAGTGGTTACTAAAGCCATAAGCATGGGGCATAACTTTCTGATATCATAACAACATCATGTAGAATAGATGCTAATAAATGTAGCTTCCTTGTGCTACCAAAATATTAAGGAAGAATGCTGTCAAATAGAAAATAGAGATTTGCTTCATTTGAAGCTGTACACTCAGGGCTCATTTTTTAAATTCTTTTTTTTTTTTTAAATAAACACAGAGAGCCTACTATGTACAAGAAACTGTATAAAATACTGAATGTACCAGATTAAGAATCATAGATCTATTCACTATAAGTACACACACATACTCACTCTCTTACATAGACTTATACAACCATAATAAGTGCATGAAAATAATAAGTAAGTGCTGCAGAAATTAGGTAAATTGAGTACTCCTAGAAGGGAAACATTTAAATTGAAAGCAAAAAAAAGCAAGAATTTTGTGGAATAAGAGATGTGAAGACTGGGTTAGATTTGCACCTGTGGAAATGACAAAAAATAGAAGAAGCAAAGGCAGAGAGACTAGAAAGCACCGCTCAGTAAAAACAAAATTAGCATTGATTATAACGTGTGACATTTACCAACTGTTCACCGTGTACAAAGAGTTGTGAATACACTATCTCAGGAAGTCCTTATAACTCTAAGTAATTAGTTCTATTAATCTGCCCATTTAAACCTAGGAAAACTGAGGCTCAGCAGAGCTAAGTACCTTGCCCACAGTTTCCCAGCAAAAGAAATAACAGGCTGTTCAACATTGCTGAGGCTTGTGTTTGAGTGGGGGAGAAATTAAAATATAATTTGAAAGGTTCATTGTGACTAGATAATAAACAGGCTTGAATGCTAGACTCTTTCAGTGAATCAAACTTAGGAGGAAGATAAATTAACCAAAAATGAAGTAAAAAATAAGGTCATCTGTTTATTTTAAAAATTAGATTATACTTTGTTTATTTTTAAAATGGCAACATTTAGCAATCTCCTGGCATCTTGCCAATGTCAAAGCACAGAATGCCAATCACATCTCAAAAGGATGTTATTGCCCTTTCTAGTATAGTACTCTGCTTATTGAAGGTGGAAAAACTATTAACCCTAATAAAACATTCCATTTAATTTAAGTTTTAAATAAAGACTAAATATATATGTTGGTACATGATGTTGGTCAATTATTTTCATATTACTATTGAGGACTGACAACCAAAGATGATACTAGAAATTTAAAATCCCCTGGCACTCATACACTCTGTGCACTGCTCAAAAAAACAATTAAGTTGTGTTCTCTTCTGTGCTTTAATCATACTAATGTGCTTCTATTACTCCACTGAGTTGGTTGGCAACCATCTAGATGCGCACAAGGCATTTAGTACAGACAGAACCCCTAAGTGGACATGCATTAATTCTCCCTAAAAGTCTTGTAAATAAAAGAGGCACCAGAACCTCAAAGGATGTTATGTTTTCACAGCGATTAGTAAAGTGGCTTGAATTTTCTCTTGTTTGTTCAGCTGTTCAGGAATTAACTTCCACAAAGCTAAGTTCATATTAGAAATGTCTATTATTCAACACACATATTTTCAACAAAATGTGAAGGTCCTCTTAGATATTTATATGCCACCATATTTATAAGTCCCTACTATGGGGATTTATATGAAAACTGTATATTTGTTTATTATTCCAATGGTTAAGTGCAGTGGACAGTTAAAACACACATCTCCAAAGGCATCTATTTCAGAGCTATGTGGATTACATTATTGTTGCTGTTAAGTGCTATTGACTTGGTCCTCACTCGTAGTGACCCTGTAGAGTTTCCAAGGCCGTAAATCTTTACAGGGAAAGAAAGCTTCATCTTTCTCCTGTGGAATGACTGATGGGCTCCAACCATAGACTTTGTGGTTCACAATCCAGTGCTTATCCTACAGTGCCACATCAATGTTTTTATCTTAGTCTTGAGCTATACTATTTAGTAAATTGTTATAACATTACTAATAATATGTTTGTTGAGTACTTTAATTAAATTTACATCTTTAAGTCTTATTTTAATAGAATCAAAGAACATTTTGAGATCTCTTTCAGTAATTCTGTGATCATGAGACTGAGTGAGCGTCAGTACCTTCCATAGTGCAGCATTCATAAGGCGACCCATCATGCATAGTTCTTGTCACCTATGGTACTCTCATGCTGTAACCTATAATTAAAGTGATACTTCCCTCGTATTAAAAAATGAATTAAGGTTTACTTTTAAGACATTTAGTTTTGCTCAATTACAAAGTAAATTATCAAAGATGATATAATGGCAATTATGTTTCTCTAAATAGATATTCACAACTTTTTTTAAAAAAATTTAAAGTTTCTAATTTCATTTTAGTTATTCAAGTCAGTTTCTGTCTCCCAGCTACGAAATCATTTTCCCCTCCCATTTTTTCATATATCATGTATTTTATATACCAGCCTGGTGGTTCTAAAATATCCACAGTTGGACCTTTCATCCTGCCTATCCATAAAACTAATATACATTGTAACAATTAAGTGTATAATTTTAAGTGTATTTAATATGTGAGTGGTGCTTAGGGCAGCCTCTTTCAATAATTTTTATTGGATTAAAGTATAGGGTTATTTGAAATTACTTAAACTTAAAATGACCCAAATTGTAAATTACCATTTAAAATGTAACTTTTAATGAAACAAGGAATTGTAACTAGCATATGTTTAAGAATTGGAGTGCATATCTCAAATACATTATCTGAAATGTCAGTTCAATCTGACAATGTGTTGTTGGACAGAAATATTTACTCAATAAGAATTCTTGTTTTCCATATTTTCACCATTATTTTATTTGATATTTACAATCTTCAATTTCTAATGCAAGGGTCTTATTGAGGATTTGTGGACTAGGGAAGAGAGGTGGGGTTTGGAGGAGAGGGATCAGAGGTCTGACAAATACAACTAATAAAACTAACAGGATGTGAAAGTCTTCCAGAAGAAATTCTTGCAGCCAGCTTTGCGTTCTCGGGGTGCCATGGCTGGATTTGAATTAGCAGATCTCTGCAGCTCCAGCCTCATTTCATCCTGCTCAGCAGCCTGGGACAAATCTTCAGGTTCCAGGGCATCATTCTCTGTCTGGTTGGGTTCAGACAGCAGCTCTGCCAAGAAATATTTGGCCAGCTCCTGTACAAAGTGAAGAGAGAAAAGGGGGGGGGGGGGAGGCTGGTGATAATATTGATAGTGGTAATAAGGAAGAAATGGAAAGCCTAGTTTGAAAAAGTAGACTGATCCAACCCCAAACCCAGTTTTCATGGTTTTACTCTGTCACACTTAGAATCACTATGTTAAAGATATTAAACATAGAGATGACCTCTATAATTGTTAAATCTCACAAAAAAAGACTTCAAAATCTCAAGCGTTGCTGAAATTTGTCCACCTTCGTAGACTTAAAACACACATACACACAGAAAGTAAGAGAAAGAGAGAAAGAAATAGCTACAGATTGTTAAAAAACAAAACAGTTTTACAAGATAAAGCATGTGTCAACAGTTTGTTAACTCAAATTTTAACTACATCATGAATTAGAAAGTATAATTGTTCTTACCGTTTTTCGCTAAGTCAACTGTGGGGAATGAGACCTTTCACAACTGCAAACATACTGTGTTCCGTCTATAACGTGCAGCCCCCTGCCCTCAGCCCCTAGTCCCAGGGATAGGAGGGCGTGCTGCTTAGAAAGAACATTTTAGAGGTCCTCACTTTCAGCACCTGGGTCAGCACCTCCTATGCTCCGCACCGGGCATGGATCCCATCACCCCTTCCCGATCAAGCAACTCAGAGTTTCTGAATTTTTTGAATGCTAAAGAACCCACCCGAACTATGATCTAGTATACTAACCAGAAAGGAAGAAAAAGGAGGAGAGGATTCTGGACTTTGAAAGTTTTCCTGAGAGCTTTGGGAACTGAGGGATTCAGACAAGCAGGATAACTCCTCAGGAGAACAGGGCTCCTGTCAAACTCAAACCAAGAGGGCTAGGGCATGGCTAAGGGATCCAGGCGAGGGCAAAGAAGACAGCAGACATCGAGGAAGCCTCCTTACCTGCTTTCCCGCAGCAGCAGCCAGGGACTTCTGCAGAAACTGACGGAGTCTAGGGTCCGAGGGCGCTCCGCTGACACCGCCCAGGGCCAGGACGATGGACAGCGCAGCCAGCGCGCACTGCAGGCGGCAGGACAGCATCTTGGCAGCGCCGGGAAAGCAGAGAGAGAAGGCGGTTCCTTAAACTCAAGGAGCGGGTCCGCAGGCAGCAGCGATGGCTCCACACCTCGCGACTCAGAAAGCGGCTTGTATGCAGACCACAGTCTCCCCCTTTTTAAACTCTTTCTCTGACGTCAGGCTAGGAGGCGCCCCCAGATCTCACCAGTGCTTTTACGCACCATTAGCCTCGCGAAATCAATCACAGAAGTGAGGGGAGGCGACACGACCCAAAGTTGATTACTTAAAAAAACAAAATCTTGCACAAACACAGGCACACACGATTTCACACATGCCACACTCTCTAAGCAATCTTTTATATTCACTCAATGCTGCACACATATACATTTCATAATTTCATTCAAACAAACATGCATATGTGCACACTCACAATTACACACAAACAGAGGCTATAACACTCAGTTTTTGCAGAGATAAATACACTATTAATTAGCTGCATATGTACCTAGGTAATGTACTATCATTATACACTTACATTTTAGGGGGCCACAAAGAAATGTAAAAGTGTTTGTGCATGGTACTTGTAGGTTCAGAATCACTCTAAGAATTAATCTGAGACTGTGATGTGGATGTTAGAAAGGTTGGAACCATTTCAATTATCTAGGTGAGAAGTTTTGGAGATGAAGATGTAATGGGACTCAACAAGAATCTCATTTTTTCCCTCTATAATGGGAGAAAAGGTACTTTGGGTTTATGTTCTCTTTTTCATTCTTAGCAGCTGAGATACTTCTACTCTACCTGCCTTTCCACAGTGATATATATAGATAGATAGATAGATAGATAGATAGATAGATAGATAGATAGAGATTTTTTTTAATGCAAAAAAAAATTTGTCTTCATTTTTGTACCTGGAAACTTGGAGCTAAAAGCAATTTCAGAAATTATGTAATGAAACACAAGGGTTGGGGTCACTGAGGTGTGAGCTTATGCAGTGAATTGCTCTGGCTCACATATAGCACAGCTGGAACAAAGACCAGACCTCCATATTTTAATGCCATGGTTCCTTCTACTCAACTTTGAGTTTTTTATCATGTTCCTGGCCAGAAAGTATAGTTTTAGGTCAAAGACCCTCAATCTGAATCGGTGAAATTCCAGGAAACTCCAGATAATATGCAGCCATTATTGTATCTATGGGGAACGGATGAACCAGACTCTCAATCAGATCGAACCCATGACACATACACAGGTATGCACACACAGAAAGTTTACAAATCGCTGTCCTAGAATTCTGGTTAAATTTTTGTTATCTCAGAGTGCCAGCAGCTTTTCTCAAAATAGTCTCTTAACCAGGAAGGGACAGCTGATCTCCTGGCATGGACCAGATGATCTCCAGAGACCCTTCATGAGCTGGCATTTTGAGTTTCAGGAAAGTTATAATATTGAGAAAAGTATGCTGTATCCACAAAACCAAGCCAAGCAGAGAGTTTGAAAAATCCTGTCATCAGTCTGACTGCTTAGACCAAAACCGTAACCACCTGTTGAGAAGTAGGAAGATGGAGAGGTATCCTGAATGGTTTGGAGAATCATCACATTTTGTGTCTACAAGCCAAAGTGTTATGGGCTCCTGGGAGAGAAGAGCTAGGGATACGTAGGAAGGAATACACCGCAAGGAGACCTAAAGCGCCCAGGTCTTGGTAAATCCAGGAAAGGCTATACGCTCATATATATCAGAATAGTCTGAAAGAGCAGTGAATCTGGGGCATTCACATCACTTTCTCTGTACATCTAGAAACCTTCCTTGGTCCCTGACTGGGGACTCACAGTCTACTTACAGAAGTCCAACTGTCTTTTGGAATCCCCAAATGATCTCACATTTCCTCTACCCAGGACTTGGCTCTTAGCAACTCCATTGAGTAGCAGAGGAAAGATTTCCTCACACGAGAATCCGTGAAAGAACAAAGAGCCAGGTCTACCATTTTGTTCTGTGCTCTGGGATCTCTCTTTCTTCTCTCTCCTGAAACCTGCTCCTCTACTTCCACATTCCTTATCCTCTCAGCCCTTTATACTTTCTTGTCTCTCTTCTTTCTTCTTCCCCCTAACTTTCTCTGAATTTCTCTCAAAACCTTCACTGTTTAATTCTGCTTTTGACTCCTTTCTTCAATCCATATTCTCGTTCACCTTTATTTTTGCCCTTCTCCTCAATCATTTTCTGACTTCAGTCTGGCTCTTTTCCCTGCGTTCTCTATATTTCATTTCCCTTTATCACCCTGTTAAGCCAATATCTATCTCAGTCTCTGCTTCTGGGCATTTTATCATCTTTCCTCCCCTGCTTTCTTTAGTTTCTCCTCCATCTCAGCTGTTTCTCAGTGAAAATATCTGTAATCCCGAGTTGCTTAATTAGGAATAGTGTAAACCTAAGATGCTTCCTTAACATCTTTTATCAAGTGCTGAGGCTGTGGATGAGATGATTTCTAGGTTTTGTTTTGTTTTGCAATCCTTAATTTGTTATGAATCTTACTAAGAACTCCTTAATTGAGGAGCCAGGGCAAAAGAAAGGGGCACACTTTCTCCTTGAGGAGCTCTTGGGTGGTGTATATGGTTAATACACTCCTAAAAGTTGGTGGTTTGAATCTACCAGAGGTTCATCAGAAGAATAGCTTGGTGATCTGCTTCTGAAAAAGTATTCATTGAAATCTTATAAAGCACAGTTCTACTCCAACACACATGAGGTTGTATTGAGTTAGAATTGACTTGATAGCAACTAACTGATGGATATTCTTCCTTAAACTCCCATGGTCAAGCTTGTTAGATTAGCATAAAGACATTTCAGACTTGCCTAAACTGAGTCCTCTGCAGTCAACCACCAAGGCATGTCCCCCAAAAGCAGAGCGTGAGAGGCATTTGTGGTTGTTACTGAGGACCCTATTTCTCAGAACTTTATCAGCATTAATCACTTTTTGTGGAGTCCTAGTGTGGCGCTATGGGTTAATGCACCAGACTGCAAAGCCATTTGAACTGCAAAGTTGGCAGTTCAAGCTCACCAGCTGCTCCTTGGAAACCCTATACAGGGTCACTATGGGTCGGAACTGACTCAATGGCACTTCACAACAAACAACAATCTTTATGCACTTTCTCATCTAGCATTTAAGGCAGGAAGAGCATGTTAACCTTTGCAAAGGAAGAAACTGAGGTCCTGAGAATAGAGGTGTCTTGTACAAGGACACACAATCAGGAAGTGACAAGGTCAGAGTAGAATGTTACTCCACTTTAGACTTCTTAATCCTCCCCTGACTCAGATATATGGCTGAACAATCTGCTGCCAGGCTATAAACATCTCTATGCAACTTCCAGGTCTTTCCCATAAAGTTCTTCTGAACAGTGCAGGATTTCCTACATCCCTTGTGAAATGTACATGTTGGAGTGACCACTTGCCAATAGGACAAGTATAAACTTGTTTTAATAATAAATAAGACAACTTTTTTTCTTATAATATTCAATATACACATTCAATATTAAGGAATGCAGGAAAGTAGAAAATGTTTAAACTAGGAGTTAAGAGATCTAGGTCCTAGTTTGGGTTCTGCCACAAATCAGTTGTGAGATAACATTTCTGGGCCCTAGTTTCCTCATCTGCAGAATAAGTAGGTGGTCCTGGTGGTTGCATGCAGCCCTGGTAATCAGTGGGTTAAGTTTGACTAAACAAACTAGAATGTGCTCTTGCTGTTCTTCAGTGCTGTCTTGTAGAGTCAGTTCTGACTTATAGCAATCATGCATAGAATTTCTGAGACTGTAAATCTTTGCAAGAGCAGAAATCCCCTTCTTTCTCCTGCTAAGTGACTGATGGAACTCCAATCTGTGGTTTCAGTCCAGTGCTTATCTGTAAACAGAGCCACAATGCTCCCTAAACTAGAATGTACTATGATATTAAAGTGGCATTCTTTTTCCAAAGAGGACTTTATATTGGAAAATACTTGACTTTTCTGTAGTATTGTAAGGGAAAAGAGTGCAGCAAAAATTCCATAAGCCTGTTATAAAAAAGATCTTCTCTTCCTTTTCTGGACCAGTAGTCACTCTTCCTGTCAAATGGACTCACTCAAATTCTTTCTCAAATATGTACTGAGAACCTATACCATTTGGAATGTCAATGATATAGCAAAAACTAGATAGACAAAGTCCTAGTTAGGAGGACAAATAATAATAATATGAATATATGCTTAAATTTGTAAAGAGTAAAGAAAAACATGAAGTATGATGTGAGGAAAAACTCTGAGGAGGATTATTTGAGTAGAGAACTGAATGAGGTAAGGCAGCCACAAAGCAAATATCTGAATAAGATATTTTCCTCTCAGATAGAAGGAACAGTTGGTACACATGTTTGCTACAATCAGACAACAATACACATGAGCCACAACAGAAGGGCTAAAAGGTGAAGTCAGCAAGGTAGATGGGGCTAGATCACATAGACTCATGAAGATCATGGTAAGGAAGTCAAGAGTTTTTTGACCAAGAGACTGACTTGATTTGACTTTTTCTCTTTTTCTCAGTTGTCTTTTCCTAAGTAGAGATTTAACTCTAAGAGGACAAAAGTAGAAGCAGAGAACTAACATAGGAATCTAAGAACCACTTGAGAAGAGGAACCAGGACAAAAAGGGACACATATTCTCTCTTACACCCCATACCATGACTAAGCTAGTTAGATTAGCATTAAGACACTTCACACTTTCCATGCCTGAGCCCTCTGCAGCCAGTCCTCATGATCTGTCTCCCAAGTCCCAGAAGCAAAGAAGATGAGGAATGTGGTTGTTACTGAGGATCCTGTTCCCCAGATCTATTTTATCCAAGAAAAGATGGCACTTAAGCTGGGGTGGTAGCTAAGAAGAAAGTGAAAAGTAGTTATTTTAAAGATTCATTTTGAAGTGCATCGTTGATGGTTAATCTGGACATAACCCAGTGCCACTGAGTTGGTTCCAACTCATAACAACCCTATACAGGGTTTCCGAGGCTGTGAATCTTTCTTGAGAAGAAGGTCTCAACTGTCTCCTGCAGAATGGCTAGTGGATTTGAACTGTCAATCTTGCAGAAGTCTAGTGTTTATCCTACAGTGCCACCAGGCCTCCTTTTGTTTGGATATAGAGAAAAGGAAATGAGATGA